GAGAATGCTCAGCTGCTGACCGGTGAAGCAATGCCCAACAGTGTGATGGAAGCCTTGTTGGCTGAGTCGCCAAATGCTGGGAACCAGGTGGGCATCCTCAACCTATCGCCTTATGAAGGGTCCTTGGAGCTCATGTGCCTGAAGTACCACCTTCGCACCGATTACAAATTGAAGAGCCTATCTTTGTCGACTGACATTCTGCTCACAGGACACACTGAAAAGCAAGTGGCCTTCACTTTGTTGGAGGCCAGATTGCTTTAAACCAGTTTCGAATTATAGCAATAAATATGGGGGGACCAGTGTTCATCCAACTTCATGGACATTTAATAAAAGAAAACAGTCTGGCGCAATGCGGTGGGCGGTGCATCCCAAAAATCATCAAATTTGTCAGGATTGGAAGCAAGGTGGAAACTTGCTGCCGGCGAGTGCAAGACCGTATGACCCTGTCCCTCCTGCAGCCCACACTCTTGACATCACCAAGTACCCGCTCAAAATGGCAACACTTTCGCTGGACACCACCCAGTCTGGGTGGAATCAGTTCAAAGTGCAGCTGAGCAATGAGGTAAGAAGCAAGCATCTCTCGGATGTGGTGAATGCTCCCAAATGGAGAGAATTGATACTGGACTTTGACAAGAAGTCACTCGACTTAACCCAACATTGTGTGTGATATTCTTTGGTTTCGAAAGTTTCAATGGTGGCTAAACCAGAATCTGCAAACCTTTTGATTTTTTTGATTGGTCTCTGGTGTGAAGGCTAGTGACCAGTGACTAGAGGGATTCCCAATAATTTTGAAGTTAAACATTGCGAGGTTTTGTTGCAATGCCGCTGCGATCCCAGAGCGTTCAATGGTGCCTGCAAGGGAGGAGCCCGCTTGTCCGCCACCATGGAACTCGGAGCCATTGGACCTGGATGGCTTGGTGGACCGCTACACCATTGAGGGCAAGATTCCGGGCAGGGTTCCACAAACATCGCTGTTCATGGTGCTTGCGACGGACCGCAAAGGGGAGAGGTCAGAGGTATTATCGACCCAACGGTTCAAGCTCTTCATGGTTACTTGCCTGCTTTGTTTCACACAAGTGAAGGCAACCCTTTGTAGGGATCATTCTTGTAATGATGGAAAGTTCTTACACAGTATACTAAGGAATTTGATTCAGTTGCAATACTGCCTGACTCACAAAAACAATAAATTTATCCCATCGCCCAGGTGGCACACCAAGACATCACCCTGTCCGAGAAGGAATGGGTCATAGCCCATGGCAAATCAACCTTCATGACGCCTGAGAAGTCCGCGAAGCTTACCAGAGAGTATACCGGCGTAGGTGGGGTTGCTCTATTGGTGGGTCAAGGTATGCTGGTGTAATTTCTAAAACCGATTCAAGTTGGAATGCATTGCCATCAGTTTTGCTCGAGTCATGCATTGCACCCACCGAGGCAATTTGGGATCAGATTCTAGGGAGATACGGTTTTTGAGTAGGATCAGGTCCTATTCGCCATGTCTCTCAGTTTGAATGCAGTGTTGGCCATGCATGGCTTCAAACAGGCAAGGCTTCAAACAAACCGCAGCTTTCCATGATCATTTTCGGTGGGAATAGGTCCTGAGCTACTCTAAGCTGCGAAACGTTGCCACAGGACCTTGATACGATGTTAGACCGAAGCCCTGGTGCTTGCCAAACACCTGCGAATGCTGTCGTTGGAAACTTAATTCCTGAATGGACCTCAAGGGGTTCTGTTGCTTTCAGTTGACTTGCAAAAAAGTCATCCCTGCACTGCCTCATGATTGAGGTCCCCAATCCCAGCCCTCCTGCTGCTCGATCAGCTGAGAAGGCAACGCCGCCGCAAATTACCCAGCGTGATCTGAAGAGGACCTTAGACAGTGCCAGTGTTCAAGGTCTCAAGAAAGACATTGATGCCTCTGCGATCAAAGCGAAAGAAAATAAACAGGCTGCTAAACGTGCAGCCCAAGCAGTCAAGGCAGCATTAGCTGTAGAACCTGGAAAAGGTGCTGATGCTAAGGCTAAGGCAGAGAAAAAGCAGAAAGCCAAGGCCAAGGCCAAGCAGCAGGCTACCGCTAAGGTTAAGGCTTCGAAAGAATCGAAAGCAAAGGCCAAGGCCGATGTTTTGAAAGACCTTGAACATAACATGGTAAAAACATGTAAGTGCCTGCTTTTGCACGACTCGCACTATCGTATGCCCTTCAGGCAAAGAACAACAAAAAGGACACTGGTTTGCTTACTTTACAATGTTTTCAATTGATGGCAAGACCTTGTCTCCACTACTATGCACTCAGTGGATAGCTCATATATGACTCTATAATACTCTATATGATGGATAATGTATTGCTTGTTTTGCCAAGCGCCTACCTTTCCTTCAGGATCAGTCAATGGAGAAGGAAGAGGGGGCGAGTCCCGAGGACGTGTTGGACTCTGAGGAAGAGCTAGACGAAGAAGAAGAAGATCCGCCCTCGATGGACGAGTCCCAATCACCCACTCTCAGGCTGGGGGAGTCGCCGCCGGCGAAGGGCAAGGCGAAGGCCAAGTCGAGCAAAGAGAAAAAGGAGTCCAAGGGTGCAGAGTCCATGCGGGATCTCTACTGGACTGTCGTGCACCAGAAGCAGAAGGAACTCAAGAAGAAGAACCCTGATCTGGGAGCAAAGGAGATCCTGAAGATGGCCCGTGCTGAGTGTCTCATCTAGAAATTATGCACAGTGCTTCAAACAATCACATTATGCATACCATGCATTTTACATACTGGAGTGCACACAGTGTGTTTCTGCAACTTCAAGACTTTGGGCTATAACCTTTGGACGTGGCTACAGGTGGACAAATCACCCTGAACGCCTGAATTGCATCAAGAATATGTCGGATGCAGCCCGGCAAAAGCGAGCTTTGTCGACAACAGGTTCGACCACCCGAAAGGCCAAGTCTGAGGCTAGCACCAAAAGGGCGCCCAAGGCCAAGAAGACTGCTGGTGCCTGATCGAGTTGAGCCAAACCTCCCTTCCCAACTCTTTTTGAAGCCTTTAGATGCATCTTGGGCCTAGAAAGCGTTGGCACCCAATATGTTTACCAACGCCCAGCTCATATGCGAACAATTCAGTTAGGGGTATTGCTACTGACTGTTGCTCAGTAGATCTGTAGATCTCGGAAGTTGGCGATGGATCGAAAGAAAAGTTTGCCTTCGGGTTATAGCTATCTTTTTTGATGATCTCTTAGAACCAGCCACATTAGTTCATCAGTCAGGTTCAGCCTTGACTATGCTGGCTGGCCAGGTGACCCCCTCGAGCACACCACATCCTTTCGAATCTTTTCGGAAGCCACCCCAATGGTTTTGGAAGTCCAGTCAGACTCATCAAAAGCTGTCCAAGACAGCGAGCTATGCCCTCTTCGCTCCATGGTGGAGGAGATGGAAGAGGAAGGTCTAGTTGACACAACTCTCATGGGTCATTCTATGGACAGATCAGGGCCTGCAGATCGTCCAGCTACAGGCGAGGTCTGAAGTCTTTTCTTCGGGTCAACCTGGACAAAGTATTAAGGTACCCAACCCTCTATAGAACAGTGTCTTGCAAGTTAATATTTCATTTGTTCCTTTCTGTGGTAGTGACCTGTTTGTGTTTGTTTGTGTTTGCAGCATAATCCAATCTATGTCTTGATCCCCGCTAGATGAAGACCCATATTTGGCGGTGAAGCCAGCCAACAATCCTCCTTTGTTCTCCTGGACTCCTATGAGCACGGGCTTCAAATTTGCAACGGTGGCGAGTTCATTTTCCAACGAGGCGCTGGTTCAACCGTGAACTAATTTCTACACGACACCTGTTAACATGTCGTTTTATCGCAAGGCGTTGGAGGCAAGCCCCATACTTATTCGCCACTGGCGCATTGCTTATGCCAAGGCTGACCAGGAGTAAGAACCGCTATGATTATGTAAACAATCAACCAGCCCCCTGACCCCTCCAATCCCAGTGGTCAACTCTCAGGAGTTGAGGCCTCGTGGCTGGGCCCGCAATCCATCCATGAGGATGGAAACGACGTGACCCTATATGTGGTTATGTGTGTGAATCATTGATGCTTTATGATGCTTTATGATGCTTTGCTGCTTTGGACCTTTCTTGCTTTGACCGGACTCCCCAGCTCATCCTAGGCAAGCCACTATATTTTTTGCGTGAGTCTTTGACCATGAAGCCAAAGCAAGCAATAAGGCTTGTTTAGGGGATTTTCTCGAGCAAGTGAACAGGCCCTGGGCAAATCGTCCAACACCAAGTTTGTTAAATAACATCCTAACCAAGGATAGTTTCTGTTGGATAATGACCTCCAATCGTTGGAAAGCCTTGTTTTAGATGACAATGTTCTACTATATCATACCCGTGAAGAGTTTTTAATCTATAAGCTCTGACTATGGCAACTATTTATGGCTTGCTCGAGGCTCAGGGCTTCAATCTGAAGATTGAAGTATTGAATGCCACTCAGAAAAGGTGGTCATGGTTCTTGATCGACTTCTGCGCTCTGTGGAAAACAATTGGGCTGCAAATGAGCCAAGGGATTGAGAGAGCGAGACAATCTTAGAGGTTTCCCCCTCCAGCTTTCCGATGTGCCTCAAAACATCTCAAAACCACTAAGCAAATCGACTGAAAAGTATCTAAATCCCACCAAGTGTACAAGAAGCTCATACCTCAATTAAAACGAAAACAACCTCAATTGAAACGAATGTTACTTATATGTGTTTAACATACGCATGTGTTTAAATAGATAATAAAGTATATTAATTTAACAAATACATTGATTCACAATTTATGATTCATGTTGCGAGGTGTTGAAGCCACGATTCCAGTGTCATTTCCCATCTCATCCTCCTTCCTGCTCATCCTTCATCACCTCCCCACTGACCTTGGACTCGGACCTTGTATTTCGAGCAGGGTGAGCTTGATCTTGAACGCCCTCGTTTTATGCTTTGAACTTGATGTGCATCCTTCAAGCTTTGATTTAGTGGGTTCCAGTGCCATGGGAGGAAAAAGGCTTTCGAGAACGTCTTGCTGTACATTTGAGACGCGCACGCCCAGAGGCACATGCTTCAGTTGTCAAGTGGTGCATTCCAAGACACAGGGGCATCTCTATTTGTCGGATGTAGCTGTTCACTCCATGTTTGCATTCATTCATAGGCTAACACCACTCGATTTTGAGCCGAATATTTTCTGTGTCATGCATGAGCAGTGCATGAAGCAAATCTCTGCCATGCTTCGACGCCGCCCGAGGCTCCAGATGCCAGTCTTTCGGCACCCTTGAGTGGACTGCTTGGTGCCCTCCAGAAGTGCAGAGGTCAATTTCAGGCATTGCATTTTTGTGTGTTTCATGGAGAATCTAATATAGGTGCAGGAATTTTCAGGGGGATCAGAAGTGCAGGAACCTTTGGTACGCAGTTGTTTTCTTGAAAGCTTGAGGGGTAAGATGGCAAGTGTGACATGGGGTGATACTCTAAGTGAGGGCAAAGTCGGGCTCAGAACTCAGAATATGCTGCTAGGTCCCAGGCCTCGACCCCTTACCACTCAGATAGACGTGTTTGGTGTTTGGCGTGATGGCAAGGCGCTCCCGGTAGACGGAGATGCTTCTTGGAGGCGGATTGGAACCTGCCTTTCCCAGTTGCCAGGGCAGAAACGAGAGTCAAGGGATGGGTTGGAGGCTATTAGCTTGGAGGCCATTGTTTTAGGTTGCTTTGAGCTCCCGTTATTGCACTGTAATGGCTGCCCTTGCAGACGACATGCATTTCCCTCAAGCATTCAGCTGCTCGAATGCTTGGCTTGGCAGGTTCCTTGCATGGGGATGGAAGGCGGGGGGGCTCGATGGATTCTCTTGATGTTTCATTAGGCTCTAAGAGTGAGAAAGCGGATACTTGGAGAATGACAAGGATTAAAGGTTTCATGACTTGGGCCATGCCTGAAAGATGTGTGGGGTGATGGTACAAAGGAGGACTAGCTGACTAGCTTCAAAGCTCCGATGATCCAGGCTTGTGAGGCGCTTTTGTTCCAATTTGTCATTCATGCTTTGCTGGTTTGCAGCTGATTACTAGTAGAAGTGGGTGCCGGCATCACGGCAATCCAAGGTGACCCCAGGAAGAGGTGTCTCAAAAAGTCGGCGCTTACGCCGACATGACTTGGAAGGGGCACAATGTCATGGGTTAAGTTTCCCTAAAGATCTGAGAACCAAATCATGAGTGCGAACAAGAGCTATCCGTAGGTAGTAGCGCTTGAGTAGCTAGTAATTAGCTTATTTACTTTCTTAAGTGAGAGGCATCACCTTAATTAAGTCAGGCGGAGCACAGCGGGTTTGGGGGGTCCCAATTGGTCCGCCTTGATGTAGAACGTGATGTGCCCCTTGTTTAGAATCGATCGAACCAAGGGCAATCCAGATGGTGCGCAGACAGTGGCAGTAGCTGTGGTGCATCTTCACCGCATTGCATTGCTTTTGTTTTCATTGATTCTGCTTTGGTGCATTGCATTCTTACAGCTTGTGCGGAAGATGAGGAACTACACAGATGAGGAAGCCTGGGCGAATGTGAAGCCCCCCGCTTGCATTGGCTGTTTTGACAAGCAAGGGCCTTGTGAGTCGTGAGGGCCGTTGACGATCGAAGGCACTTGCAGATCTGAAAAGCTCAGGTTCAAGGCCATCACTATTATACGATTTTGTGGAGGCCTCCTGCTATTAGAAACTAAAAGAAGTTATACAAGCATAGACCCCAAACAGCTTCAAAACGATTCGTTTATATAGACCAATATTAGTCAAAAATCAATTTCTTGGTACGCCCTACCTTCACCCCAAGAGCAAACTGCTTCATCAATGAATCATTGACATCGCTATTTGTTCGGCCACACTCCTCTCCAGTAAACCGGACCGGTCAGTGGCGCGGCCAAGACAAGGACAAGAGGAGGACAAGACCCGGAATACAGAGCCGGGCCACAGCGCCCAGCCACAGAGTTCAGGGGCGCGGCCAAAACAAGGACAAGAGGAGGACAAGAAGAGGACAAGGCCCAGCCACAAAGGACAAGAGGAGGACAAGGCCTGGACACAGAGCCCAGCCACGCCAGCCACAGCCGCGCCCAGTGAGTGTGGCCAGCTCTTTTTCTTCTAAAATAGAACCCCAACAGCAAACTGCTTGGGGAAAAAGAAACAACCTATAAGCAAGGTCTAATTGCTTGCTAGGTTGGAGGCCACAAGCAGGGAGGAAAGGTTCTGTGACCCCTGATGGTCCCAATGATGCACAGAACAAGTACGACTTGCCGGTACTGCCGGTTGGTTCATCCATTAATCCACATGTGGAACTTACAGCAACAAGAAGCCACATCTTGTGAGCAGATTGTTTGTCAGCAGAGCCCAAGTAAAGTTTGCTGTTTAGATGTTGGGACGTTTTAATTATGTTGGAGGCCATCGCTAGTAGGTTGAAGGCCATTGCTATTAGAAACAACACGTTTCAAAAAAAAAACCAATATAGTTTGCATTCACACACCACATCTCAGCGCCTTGAATTGAAATGTTGCTCCCAAGGCTTGCAGAATTGCTCAAAGGTGCAACCGCCGAGACTTTGCACCTCACTGATGTTTTATCCCAAGAGGCCGACTTGGTTTGAGCCGGTCGTTCCAACGTCTTGGAATCAGACCACGTCGAGGCAAGACAAATGAAGATACAAAAATATATAAAACCTGACAATACAACCTAATGGCAATGGCCTCCAACCTAAGAGCGATGGCCACCTCTTTGGTAGTGAAATGGCCGGTACCCCACTCCCAGGAAGGGGAAGGAGGACCACCACCTTCACTGCCGTCGATAGGTCTTTGAACGAAGCACCGCTGCTCTTTGCGGATCCGAAGGCCTCGTCGTAGGCTGGGAACAGCCTCGTGCATGGTGCGCTCGGTCAGTCGAGGCTCATCGATACGGTCGAACCGGCCCCTAGTAGCGTCCTTGTTCCTAGTAGCGAGGCCAGGAGCCCCTAGTAGCGATGCCCTTTGCTCCTAGTAGCGTCCTTGCTCCTAGTAATACATGTTCGGTGACTCCCTAAGAGAGGGACTCTGAATCCTAGGCGACGCCATGCAAACGATCGCTGCTTGCTGCTTGAGCATTTGCGGTTTGGTCGTTGACCAATTGAGTGCCGTTTTACTTTGTACGTTTGGGTTTAGAGTTGTTAACGTTACCATTCAACTGTTGTTGCGCTTTATTACACCGTGATGTTTCCTCTTGGGGGGTGTTGCTGTGAAAAAAATGCTACAGGACAAGGACAAATTGATTAATCAATATTAATTAGTCATTAGTCCGTTTCTCTCTATTTGCCTCTTTTCTGACCAAGTAACTGCTTCGCTGCTTCATCAACCGGAACCTTTCGCGTTTCGGTTTGAACCCTGAAGGCTTGAAGCCATTCCAATCGCATATGCTTGTGTGCAGCTGGTGAAATCTGGCCACTTCGTGAGAGAGATATGTATGGGTCCAACATGGTCCAACAAAGTGGGTGTGGACCTAATGACCGCAGGTGAAAACGCCGCATTGCCACTACACAGATGCCTGAAGTGTTCATTGCCATTCGTTCATGTTCGTTTCTCAATGCGTGGTATGACAAGATAATGATGTTGTGTCTCGCCCTGCTTGCGGTCGCGTGGATCAAGCCTGAACGCGACCTTGTGTGTAGCCCTGAGCCCTTGGTTTATCGTGTTTTGCAAATCGCAATGTGGTCTCGCTACAACGAGTCTTCTTCCCAGTCCTGGCCAGTCTCTGCGCACGAGGAAGGGGTGACACCTTTCTCCCGCTACCCTCTCCAGGACACCTTCTACAACACATTGGCCTACTCGCACATCGTGTTCGCAGTTCCATATTTAAGTTTGATTCTTTGGCAGTTCCTCGCGACAAAGGGAACTCCAGATCACGTGCAGCGTGGCTTGGTCCTCAAATGGCTCGCTTTGTGTGTCGTTGGTGGAGGTTGGATGCTTCAGATTCGGCATTCCTGGTTCAGCGACCCAAAGGTCTTTGAGAAGCACCCAGCGCCTTCCCTGCAAGAGGATACACACAGGCCATTTCGCAAGTTGGTTTCGGGAAGTGAGTGTTTGTTTATCAAAGGTGCCTCTATCAGTGTGTTTGGCTTTTGCAGGCCGGAGGGGCTTTGTGATTCAACTCCACCTTGTTCGATCTCAGAAGAAGGGGAGAGGTCGAAGCTTCCAAGCTTGAGGATAATGATGGCACTTCCCTTGGCCACACTAACCCCGAAGTACTTCTTGAAGGACCTGCATTCAAGGAAAAGGATTCAATTCACAACTTGGTGCCCTAGACACACACTTGTTTGTTTCCTTCTTCACCGTCAGATCATCAGCACATGCACAGTCCTTTTGTTGACGAGCTATAGCTTCCATAACCTTCCAAAACTCAGACACTTGTGCACGATCACTGAGGTGCTTTTCAGCCTGCCGTTTGCACGCAGTTTCGTAAGTGCCTTTGGTACCTCTACCGTCGTCAGTGCCTTGAGTTGCTATTTGCTGGGGGTCAAGGACAAGTCCCGATTGGCACCTGCAAAAGGCACACGGCATCTCATCATCTTGGATTTTGCACATGTAAAAACATTCGCTATTAGGTTGGAGGCCATCGCTATTACTTTGTTTTTGCATAGGCACACGGCATCTCATCATCTTGGCAGCTGTCTTGGCGTCCTTGGCCGTGGATGTCAACGCTTACGTCTACATCATTCAACATTTGGTGAAGCTACCAGCATGGAGTCTTGGACTTGCGACTTGCTACCCCTTACCCGTAGAAACAAGCCGAAACAAGAAAAAGAAACGTTGTTTTCTTTGTTTCTTTGTGTTCTTCATACTGTTCCTTTCTTATCCTTATTGTTTCCTTTTTTTGCTTTTCTTGTTGGACTTTGCTGCCCCTTACTCTGTTCAAAGATTGATGAAACTTTACACCAAGGAGCTCTTATGGGTGGGAAATGCTTTGGGAGATGACAGTCATTGGTTCGGTCTTCCCACTCTACGATGGCCTGAATGCGTTCGTGCTTCTTACCTGGTGGCACACCGGCAATTTGAACTATGTCGAACACCATGTGATGAACGCAGTTTGGACCATGAGCAAAACCTGCGTAAACTTGATTTGCTCAAAGAAATGTTGCTGTATTTTCACTTTTTTTTGGCAAGAATATATTATAGTTTGAAACCACAGCCTTCAAGAAGGCTAAAGCCTTAGCCAACGGTAGGCTGCCGTTCTGCTCTTTTCAGCTCATGATGCTCACTGGTTTTGGCCTCACCCTGGGTTGGGCCTCTTCCAACGCTGGGCCGTCCAGCTTGTGCCACAGCTCTTGATCTTGTTGCCCTACTTGCTGCGGATCTTCAAACACGTTGCGGCCGCCCCGTCGTACCAAGAGTACAATGCCCTGAGCCCGAGGGAGGTTCCGGGCCGCAAAAATTAAGCCGGCCAGGTGGTGATTCCCGCCAAAGTGCGCCACCTCAACTTGGGCCAACAGGTCCACTCACCACGCGGTCACGCACCAAGTGCACTTCACCGCCGCACTGCCTGATTCGTAATGATTCGTACGCCGAAAAATGCAACAGGCGAAGGCGAGGGTCACACGTGACAAGTGCTGTCTGTTGTTACAAACTCTGCTATGATATCTTGGAGACAGGACCAAACTGATGTGATGCATCTTGCACAAGACGATCAACACACCATCCGATGACAAGAGACGAAGATGGGGGAAATCTTAGTCCATGATCCGCATTTTGAGGCTCCAAGTGGCGGAGAAGAAAGGGCTTTGATCACTTGTTGAATCCGTTGTGATGACAGGATGTTTAGGGCTGTTGTGACCAGAAACAAGTTGTTCTTGATCAAAGCCCAGTCTCACAAAAGTGCCTGGCCATTCAGGGAGCCAACGCAACACCAAGTGAGCAAGTGAGTGGTCACAAATTAACCTCGTTCGCCGCTATCCAGTGTCCCTTGGCTCCCTGAAATGTCAAGGCCATTTTCAGCCCCCTTCCGGCGCTCCAGCACCAGCACGATCAGGCTCAATGCATTCAGGAAGACGAAAACTGGGAGACTTGACAGACAGGACCGGATGATTGTAGATTGTAGATCCACCATGCCAAGGATTTGGGGGAAGAGAACGGTGTTACGTTTCAAGAATCCGAATACGACATGATGTTCATGAAGGACGTTGATTCGCTGGCCGAATCCGAAGAACCTGGTGAGGCCAAAGTCGCTGAATCGGAAAGCCTTTGGACTCACCAGGGCTGCGACCCTCCCAGCCTCAAGTGCACAAGCTGCAGACTTCGAGGCCGAATGGAACTGAGAAGCCGGTGAAAAGAGGGTTGTAGGGCAAGATGGCATCCAACCTAATAGAGATGATGGCCTCCAACCTAGAAGCGATGGCCTCCAACCTAACAGCGATGGCCTCCAACCTAGCAGCTAGCACAGATGCTAGCGATGGCCTCCAACCTAACAGCGATGGCCTCCAAGTTATAATAGAGATGGCCTCCAACCTAGCACAGATGCTAGCGATAGCCTCCAACCCAGCAGCGATGGCCTCCAACCTAACAGCGATGGCCTCCAACCTAGCACAGATGCTAGCGATGGCCTCCAACCCAGCAGCGAAGGCCTCCAACCTACTAGCGATGGCCTCCAACCTCTTAGCGATGGCCTTCCAACCTAGTAGCGATGGCCTTCAACCTACTAGCGATGACCTCCAACCTAGTAACGATGGCCTCCAACCTAATCGAGATGGCCTCCAACCTAGTAGCGATGGCCTTCAACCTA